CTTCGCGCTGCCCGCCCTCCTGTTGCTCGGCGCCTACGGCAGCATCTTCCTGGTGGCGCGCCGCGCTGCCTTGCGGCCACCACCGCCCGCGCGTGGAACCCGGCCGCGCTCCGACTCTCTGGATAGCCGCCTTTCCATCCTGCCGCCTCCCCGGCCTCGCCTCCCCGGGGGCAAAGCAGCCCTGGCCCCCGCGCTGGCCGTGGGCCAATTCGCAGCCTGCTGGCTGCCTTACGGCTGTGCGTGCCTGGCGCCCGCTGCGCAGGCTGCGGCAGCCGAGACGGCTGTCACCTGGGTAGCCTACTCGGCCTTCGCGGCTCACCCCTTCCTGTATGGCTTGTTGCAGCGCCCTGTGCGCCGGGCGCTGGGCCGCCTGGCCCGCCGAGCGCTGCCCTGGCCCCCGCGGGCCTGTTCTCTGCGCGCCTGCACTCTGCGGGCCTGGCACCCGCGCGCACTCCTGCAGCACCTCCAGGGCCCTCCAGAGGGCCCTGCCCTAGGCCCTTCTGAGGCACCAGAACAAGATCCAGGTTTGGCAGGAGGGGAGAGCCTCGGCATGCGCAAGGCCACCTGAAAGGAAATCTATCTCATACGCTGAACTGGGACTACAGAGAGGAGGGTGGCATCAGAAGAGGCTCATCCAGCCTCCCGCGCAGGTCGTGGCAGGTGCCCTGCCTAGACTTCTGGCTTCGGAATGGAAGAAAGGGAGCCTGCAGCCTGGTGAAGCCGGGAGCTCCTGGGAGCTAGGGACGCCCAGTTCTGGGCCTAACTGTGCATGGCCTTGTGTACAGACCTATCCTTCCCTAGGCCCGTTTCTCTCTCTGTATCCTGGACCATCTCTAAGGGTTTCTCCAGCTTACGTGGTTTGGACACTCATGGATGATGCCCTGGCGGAGAAAGGAGCAGAAGTGGGCAGGATCACAAAGAAGGCCCTAAGGGCTCACAGCCAAAGAGATGGGCCAAGCAGGGCAGCGTCTGGGTTATGGCCACGGCAGGAGGAACCAGTAGAGAGACGCTCAGAATGACTTTCCTGACATCTGCACCCAGGAGAGGCTGGACAAAGCTACTGGAAATCCTCCATCAGCTTCTAAATTGCCCAGAAAACCGAATCAGTTTGGTGCTAGAGGCAGGAGGCTGGACATGTCCACCAAAGGGTCCTGAAGCCCCAGAACCGGCATGTGGAAGGGGCTGAGGCCCGACTAGGGCTGGTGGATTCACAGATGGGGTCTCTGGGGCCTCGGCTTCACCCATTTCCTGGAGGTTTGGCCGACAGTCACAGTGTTTCACAGCTTCCTGGTCGCAGAATATTTATTCAAAAACAGGGATTGAAAAAACTGTACAGAGTGTCTGCTGCTGAGAACTCAGCCCTGCCCCATGCCACTCCCCCAGCTGCCCGGCAGTGCCCCCTCTCTGGGTTGCCCTCTGCCAAGCCCAGCCAGTCCATTCCAGTCAAAGGGTATCAGTGGAAGCAAAAAAGGCAGGGAGGGGGAGAGAAGCATGGCCCCCAGCCATCCCCTAGCCCTCCTCCCTGATCCCCACGAGGGGGCAGTAGGCTGGGAAGCCCTAAAGGGTGGGGAGTGCATGAGTAACCCCCAAAGTGGGGGCACTAAGGATGCTCCCCGTATCCAAGCAGAGCTAGAGGGGGTGGAGCCCCCTACTCTGGGGCTGCTGCAGCTCCCAGAACCCTGGGCCAGAAACTGCCCCCACTCTGGGCTCAGGAATTCCCACAGATGGGGGCCGGGTGGGGGGTGCATCCATGCTTCTGGGCATTAGTGGCATTTGGGACCCCAGGCTGGAGTCTCCTCGGGCAGGTGGGGTGTGGAGGCAGCCCCTGCCGGCGGTCCTGCCTGCTGCCGCGCCTGTGCCTCAGCCGGCCTCAGTAGGGTGAGAATTTCTGCCGCTCAGCTTTCTTGCTCCCATTGGCCGCTGCCATCTTGGCAGTGTAGGCCGCCAAGCCCGGCGGTGGCCCTGGGGAGGCAGGTGGTAGAGCCAAGAAGGGCACAGGCTTGAGGCCGATGAAGTTGGAGAGGGAGATGGCGTAGGGTGTGCCCAGAAGGCCCGGGGGAGCCGTGGGCAGGGCCGTCAGGGGCGGTGAGAAGGGGGCAGGCAGGTCTGCGGGGGCCGAGCCGGGTGTCCCCCCAGAGGTAGACTTGGCTGTTTCTAGACTGGAGAGAGGGATATAGGGGGGAGATGAGGGGAAGGTGAGGGCGAGAGAGGAGAAAGCGAGGGCAAATATGGAGGGTGATTAGATAGAGGGAAGACAAGACGCAGAACTGGGGAGGACAACGACGTGGGATGGACGTGTCTGCGGGG